GTTGATCTGTGTTGTGCTACTTTCATGTTATCACTGTGAAGCTGCTTTGATACAATCTGTATTGTGAAAAGCGCTATATAAATAAATGTGACTTGACTTGACTTGACTTATAAAGTAAAATAGTTAAGACGTAACTAAAAGTGAGACTATTTACTTTACTTTTTTATCAACTTTATTAATCTCACAAGGGGCAATTAGAGCATGTGTACAAGTACATAACACAGATCACACACATTTCTCACAACATACAAACAGTCAACTATGTGTATCGTGATGCATTATTATTCTGCTAGTTAAAAATGTATTATCATGCAGACAGTAACTTACAATATTTCTCTAAGCTTGTGCATGTGACAGTAATTCAAGCACATATGTCAGTCAGTCGGCATCTCACGTCAAGTTCGTAAAGAGCTTAAATTCAGTCCATTTTACAATCTGATTTTGGCCGCCTCTCAGTTTCTCAGATGGGTCAAACCAAAGATATTAATTCAGAAGTTCAAGTAAATGAACTAGAAATCCGCGCTCATTCAAGGGTGTGCATCTATTGCATAAATGGATAGAAAGCAATGAAATCATCAGACATCCATGTGAGGGAGACAACTGGAAATACAGCACTGGTCGTTTTCTCCATACTCCACAACGACGGAATCCAACGGTGTTCACGGGCGAAGGTATAATACCATAGACCGTAAAAGAAATGGACAGAGCTATCTCATTGGAACTCCATTGAGACGATTGAAGCCCGTTTTGGCGATTTTTTTAGCACTTCCGTCCCTGACGCGCAGACTCAAACAGAGCTTGATAACGTAGATGTGATGAGAGCAACCCGTCTGTCTTCTAGTGCTGTGGCATGAGAAACCTGAATCATTCCCTTCCGAAACATGCAGAGGCGGAGAGTGTGAGTAGGAGCTGTCCATGAGCTAGGAGAAGGAGACAATTTTGCTAGGTGTTCTGATTAATTATTTTGTCATTTTACCTCCAAGTTTCCCCGATTGCGCGCAAGCTTCTTCTCCTGTTCATACGGTAATCTCTTTACTGTGCGACAGAGAGTCGCGTGGGTATGACGCAATCGTTAGCCTACTTTCACTAAAACTGCATCTACGGGGCCATAACATAAGCTACAAGGTAATGGAGCATTTTATACATTGTCGTGTTTCTTTAGAAATAAATAAAGGACAAATGGGGTCTTCAAACGCCTCAGATGTAAAGTTATTCACTGTCAAAGTGACGCCAAAATGAATGGGAGTCAATGGGAATGCTAACGCAAGTGAAGTTCTGCTATAAGATGTCAGCTCCCGCGAGGCTTCAACTTCCGGTCGATGGATTACCCCCTTGTATAATACGTGTATTAAATTGTATGAAATAATCCTGGAAAAAGCACAGACACAGTTTGACAAATGACTAGCAGTGAAAGCAGCAGCAATCCACCTGTCACTCAAGTGACCACACCCTTAATTATGCAGAACTTTAAGGCTTAAATATAATTTAAACAGATGACTTGTAAAAAAATTCACCCAACTCACAGTCGTCATGAAGGGCAAAATTAGCGACATAGACCAAAACAACTATTTGCCACAAGGCTGTAAACATGTTTTTTTTCTGCTGTGAAGTTAGGCCTTTTAACTTGGGGGAGATACAGATTTGACTCACTTTTGCAGTCAGCTAATCCGGTGTTTTCCTATAAACTTCAGGCAGTTTATTATTAATCTTGTGTGCCCTATTCTCAACCTTGTAAGCATAGTGTCCTCCTGTCTTCTTATACTGTTCTTTTTAACCATCACTTCTTTCTGGATGCTTTATAAATGTCTTCATTTCTCTTCCTGATCCATCCATGTATCCTGCCACATTTTATTTATAATATCTTTTAATAATAACTTGAATTCATGAATTCTAATTTGCTAAGTTTATATTCTCTGCCTTCAGGGCTTCTTTTGCTAATGTGTCCACCTTTTCATTTCCCTCAATACCCACATGCGCTGGAACCCAGGTAAACTGGACGTACAGTTTTGGTAGAGTTAATCTAAAATTAATTGATTTATTTCATCCAAAATATCTTGTGCACATATAGATTTTCCACTCTTGATAGGAAGAACATGGAATCATGTTAGAGACCTATCCCCAATCCAAAGGCGCAGGGAAGAGACCCTCTCATTCACCAGGGTAAACTCCAACACATGCCGGCTGATCTCATGGAGGCTATAATCAAACCCACACCAGCCCGCCGCCGCATGGGCAACTCCAGAGTGGTATAGAGTCCATCCTCTTGGAACCAGGAACATGTCCCGTACATCCTGATGTACTTGGTATATCGTAAGAATGATGCCGTCTACGCTAATATTAGTGTCTCTGTTCATCCAGAGGACCCTCTATGGTGGACCTGTGCCTGGACCCATCCCAACTCATCCAAAGGAGCATTTCACCCTTTTCAACATTAATCTTTATTGAAAGTGGATCAATTTTTGTAATCGAAATGTAAAAGAATTTTTGAATTTGGTGGCCTCTTGACCAAGAAAAGACAGAAGGGGTGCATTTTGTATATAAGACAACCACTCCCACAATGCACCACATTTCACAGCTCCGCAATCTGGAAGAGCGCAAACAGAGAAATCAATGTTCCTTGTTAGTTGGCTGTGGCGAGCAGCACGATGAGGGCGAGTGCAAGGTGAGTGGGTCCCACACCCTTGAATAATAATGAGCTAATGTTTGTAGTCTCTACACTTTTTAATGAAATGTTACTTCCTGCTTATTATGATGCAAAATGACGATTTTTACGTCATAATAAGCAGGGAGTAAAACACTTAAAGCTGCCCTATAATGTGAAATTGAATTTATGTTGGCATTGTTAAATAACAAGGGTTCAGTACATGGACATGACATACAGTGAGTCTCAAACATCATTGTTTTCTCCTTCTTACTTAAATCTCGTTTTTGAAAAACACCCCTGAAAAACGGGCGAATCTCCACATAATACCGACTCTGACGTAAAAGTCGGGATCATTAATATGTATGACCCAAAATATTTGCATAATGCCAGCCCATGTTCAGTGACAGACGAGACGGAGCTGCGCAGTCAAAGCATGGCAGTTGATCAGTGTTTTTCGGATCTACACACGAATACAAAAGAATATTTTAGTTCCTTCGTCCGAGCCTCTGAAGAAACAATGGATTAATTTTATTTTCTCTGGAAATTTTCAACCATTTCACCGACGACTTGTTTCCTCAACTTGCCAAGAGCTGGCCTCGGATCGAGCTGATGTGTTGTTCAAGTTCAGACAGGTAATCTTTCACTTTAAAATCGTATCAGTAAGTCAGGCCAGTGATTAAAATCAACTTCACATCGTTTATTTTAGTAGGATGAAAAAAAAAAATCTTATTTAAATTGTGAATTATATACAGAAAGAAAGCGATCAAAGAACAATCACAGCCCGAGTTTATCTGAACACTTGCCAAACTCGTTATGAATTCAATGACGCACGTTACACTGCACAACTAAGCTCTAACGTTAACTGTATTTACATCATCGTGTCTGCTGCATTAGAGAGTAACGTTAGAGAGACTGCATTGCAATGATAAGATCTTCATTCTCGCGATCGACACACTCACTGTCCTTTGCTTGCTCAATCACAGCAACACTTTATGTGATGGGAATAGATCTAAATACTTCAAAAACATCTCACGATTCGTTGATCTCGATAGCTGTAATAGTAAAAACCTATAATAGCTGTAGTAAAATTATTCGAGAGAGTTTCACATGTCATACATAGCTATTTCATATGCAAGCATGTCAGCCAATCACAGCAGAGGCCGGTTACATACAGCAGACACGCCCCTTCAAACAGAGTGTTCAAAGCAGAGGCTAAAATCAGGCTAGGAAAAATGCCTTTTATTTCTAAATTATGACTATTTTTGATCTAAAAAACATATTAACTCTTTCCACACTGAGTACAGTCGTACGGCTTCTCTCCAGTATGAACTCGCTCGTGTGATTTCAGAGATCCAGACCGAGTGAAACTCTTGTCACAATATGAGCACTTGTAAGGTTTTTCTCCAGTATGACTTCTTTGATGCAGTTTCAGATCATGAGATGTAGTAAAGCTCTTCCCACAGTCACGGCAAATAAATTCTCTCACTTCATTGTGTGTTTTCTGGTGCAGATATAAACAGTTCAGGCGTGAAAAACTCTTTCCACAGCGAGAACACACATAAGGCTTCTCATCTGAATGGACTGACAGGTGTTTTTTTAGATTTGCTGATGAAATAAAATCTTTACCACACTGACCACAGTTAAATGTTTTTTTCTCTAGAGTGAATGAGCAGATGACCATTGAGAGTTGATGATTGAGAAAAACTCTTTTCACACTGAGTGCATGTAAACGGTTTCTCTCCAGTGTGAATTCTCATGTGTGCGTTAAGGGTTCCTTTCTTTGTGAAACTCTTTTCACACTGAGTACAGTCGTACGGCTTCTCTCCAGTATGAACTCGCTCGTGTGATTTCAGGTTTCCAAACCGATTGAAACTCTTGTCACAATATGAGCACTTGTAAGGTTTTTCTCCAGTATGAATTCTTTGATGCAGTTTCAGACCATGAGATGAAGTAAAGCTCTTCCCACAGTCACAGCACATATAATCTCTCACTTCATTGTGTGTTTTCTGGTGCCGTTTAAAATTTTCCAGCCATGAAAAACTCTTTCCACAGAGAGAACACACATAAGGCTTCTCATCTGAATGAACTTTCAGATGTGATTTTAGATTTGATGATGAAATAAAATCTTTACCACACTGATCACAGTTAAATGGCTTTTCTCCAGAGTGAATGAGCAGATGAACACCGAGATGTGATTCTTGAGAAAAACTCTTTCCACACTGAGTGCATGTAAATGGTTTCTCTCCAGTGTGAATTCTCATGTGTGTGTTAAGGTGTCCATTCTGTGAGAAAGTCTTTCCACACTGAGTACAGTTGTGCATCTTCTTGGCTTTTGTTCTTTGAATTGTAAAGTTATGATGTTCCTCCTTCACTTCATTCAGTTCTTGTCTTTGCTCTTTCACTCTCACCTGGTCTAAAATACACAGAAATACAGTTAGAATCAGTTCAAGTGAACCCTTATTTAATAGCAGAAAACAACAAAGATCTTTCCTTTGTTATTCTGTCATTCACTTGTTAGTTAAAATTAGTCAGTTAAAATTAGTTTGACAACTGCTATAAAAGGTTATGATCATTTAGATGTATTTCTCTAACATTTATCATCCATTTACTGCTTATTAATTCACATCTACCAAACTATCAACAATGAAGAATCAGGAATGGACACCAACCTATTTGTTCCTCAGTATCTTCATGTTTTATTCTGGATGGTTCTGGATCACTCATGTCTTCAATCTCCTCTTTAATAAACTCCATCTTTAACAGTCACACAGATTTCAGCTGCTACTCCTGGAGTTTGTCCTTCTCTTGTAGTATGATGGGAATAATCCCAGTATTTATTGGTGAATTGTTGTGGGAGGGGCTTCACTGCAGGTGTGAACTGTGATCACTGTGTTTTTATCCAATCTGTATTTAAAAAGTACAGGAACATCATGTTAAACTGAGCAGCTGAAAAACCTCTTTGTCTCCAAAAGTTCCCTGTTTTCAGATCATTCATTATGTAGACGGTGGGTCGAACGCTGCTATCTGCTTTAGTTTTTGAAATGATAGATCCTTGAGGATAGAATAGCTGCTTTTTTCACGTAAACTATTAAATTTTTTCAGGAACACGTATCCGTTTGTTGGCAGTATCAAGTCGATCATATTTTTTTGAAAACTAAATTTACGTTTAATAAACGGATTCGGCAAACTCGATGGAGTACTATACCTCTAACCAATCAAACAACGAATTCTATTGTCACGTGACTAATGTGTGCCAATACTATTCGTTAAAAATATATTACCACGACTGTAACTTAGCACATGTGTTCTCTAGCTAGCCAGCCACAGCAATAGCCATGAGTTCATGACATAAAATGTTCTCTGACGAAATCTACACAATCAAACATTTTCCAGCAGGAATCCTATCCGAAGTCGAGAAACATTAACAGTGGCATCCACGATTCCAGGTGTAACGTAAATGGCTCTGATAAGTGCTGCGGTTTATACCCGTCCTATAACGTTAGCTAATAATGTTAGCTTTGTGCATGAAGTCTAAACCGTTAACATATAACATTATTCCGTTTTATGTTTGTATAGTTAAAGTTACTCTTGTTAGAAATGACATACAGTCACAGAGAAGAAAACATTTGTTTTGATGAGATAACGTGTTAGCATGTAAACGTTAGCTAGATGTAATTTTAGCAGTGCATGTTAACGTAAACAGTTATTCTATTAGGCTGTAGCGCTGTAAATTAGGATGTAAAAGACGATTACTAGACAGAGATTAAAGTGGAAAAGATAACATTTATCATATTAGTTTACATCTACTTACCACATAAACTAATAGCTAGTCATGGAAGAGATAACATGTAACGTTATTAGCTAGCTACATACGATTACGTCAACTACACATTCTAACGTTACTAGCTAGGTATGGAAGAGATAACAAGTATTAACTAAGTTTACATCAACAGCAGATTTCCTAATAGCTTAGTCATGGAAGAGATACCACATAGGGCTGGGCGATAATTCGATCTCGATACAGGATCGCTATAAAATTTTGAACGATTTCGATAATAAGCTTGGGACATATTATTCAATATCACGTGAAAAAGTAAGCACAACAGTATCAGAGTCTGCCGTATGCCATTAGGATACGCCCACTTCTCAGTGAGCAGCCGTGGCTACAGTAAACAGAAGGAGACTTGAGAGGGAGGGAGAAAAGTTTGGAAAAAGGAGAAAAAAAATTAGCGAAACTGAAGTTGAAGACAGCGAAAATAATGCCGAATGTGAAGGCGACATCAGGCCATCCTTAAAAATATTTTGGTTTGCAGTAACAGCAAAAAAAAATAAAATAAAATAGGGTCGGTAGGTAGGTCCATATTTTTTTTTTTAGATTTAATGTAAAAAAAAAAAAGTAAAATTTTGGTCATGGTGATTACGTAGTTAAGATTTTTTTTTTTTTTTTTTTGCATATTGTGACATCACTGACTGGGTCTTCAAAAAGTGCCTTCGGGCGTGCCTTTGCAAACCTCATTCTGATGCAGGTTATATTGACCACAAACAATTTGAAATCTTTGTCCAAAAACATGTTTATTGCATTAATTCATCATTCATTAAAAAAAAGTCAGAATCAAGAAAAAAAGAAGCCACTAGATTTTATCGAAAGTGAAACAAATAAATTAAAATTACTTTAGAATTCACAAACAGTTAATTGCATTAACATGCAATGTAATACATATGAGAAAACCCAATGTGTAACATTTTTGGATGTTTACATCCATAAAACAAATATGTTGTGAAATGTGTATAAACCCTGTTAACACGACATCCCTTCGACCATAGCTCTGGCCAAACTATTTCATCTTTGGAAAAGGTGCCCTTTTCAGTGCAGGCTTGTGCTTGCACTGGGTGCAGACTGGCAACACAATTTTATAATTCTCTAGAAGGTCTTTGTCCTTCTCTGTAGAGCTGTCACGATAACTACTTTTTGTTGTGCGATATATTGCACCAAAATTAATTGCGATAAACGATATTATTGTCATTTTCAGACCATTTTATGCCACTGATTACCTATGACAATATAATAGCATTATAATGCACACTGTTTCAAAGAACATTTATTCTCATTCTATTCAATATTTAGACATTGTGAAATGTGAAAAAAATATATCCCAAATAAATAAAACAAGTAAATAAATACACATTCTTAACAAAAAAGTTTCAGGTATCAAAAACTAGATCAAAACAAAGAAATATGTCAATTTAAACTTTTAAAGTGTCTCACACAAAGGCACAGATGCATCAACAGGACATTTCATATTTTTAAATGCTGGTTTTTCGACCGTGCATAATGGCTGCATCTCTTTGGCTAAATAGTAGTGTAGTGCCTGAACGCGTTCATATTTGAGTGAACTGAAGAATGTACTGTATTACTGCCTGATGAACGCGTTCATTCTGGTGTATGTCTGCGAATGCACGCTCTATCAGTTTAAACTCTTACCTTCGTACAATAGGGTGCCTATTTCTATAGAGCCTTCCAGGCGAAAACCCGGCTAAAACACACGTAAACAAGCCTTAAACACCCAATCTGGCAACACCAACCGCGCCGCGGCCACCGTCAACAAAGCAGCGAGTGAGGAGATGTATGATCATTTAAACGGATTTTATGAGATCAGTGCGGATGGGAAAAAAAATCTCACATGTCTGCGCAAACTGGCCGTCGATAAAATAATTGTTGTCTGTGGTTATATGGGCTGTGACAATAACAGCCTAATGAAAAAAGCTCACAACATGGAAAAAAGAACTATAAATTAATTAATTTTTTTGAAGTATGAGCTATGAACTGAACTAATTCATTTTAAAATGTGTGAACTGAACTTTGAACTAGTTCGTGTAGAAAGTGAAATTTACCAACACTGAGAGTTACGCTATCCGTGAGTGTGCGCCATTTCGGGCTGTCACGTTTAGGCTACTGCTATATTTGCACTGTCGGGACGGGAAAATGCATCTGCAACATAACTGTCTGGAAGAATGCCCCTCTCCAACTCCAGCTGCTGTTGTTGTTCCCAGGTTGAAACACTGGGTGGGATGGTTATGTTTTAGGTGCGATTTTAAGTTTGTTGTGTTGCCTCGTCGCGTTGCGACTGTTTTAAAACACAGTCGACATACCCGCTCGTTCACGTTTATCTCTCCTCTCTCGTTCGGCTTAAGGCAAAATGTTTCCACACCGGAGCTGAAGATTGTGGCTTTGAAATCAATTAATTCCATGTTGGACTCGTTCTTCCTAACTGTCTGGCTCGCTGTAGATGTCACGAGAACACTTTAAAATGCAGTTTTGGTTCACGCCTACTCTTCACCTGCCGGTGTCCGCTCTCTCCCTGTGTGTGTGTGTGTATGTGGTGGACGCGTGCAGACAAGATGACAGAGGAAGCGCGATCAACTAAAATGCTCATGACATTCATTTTATCGTAAAAATGAATCTAATTATTATTCTTAATAGTAAAACAAATTATCTGTTGCAATATATCGCGGAACCAAAAATGATCGCACTGGTTTCCATATATCGTGCGATAAGTCGATATATTGACTATCGCGACAGCTCTACTTCTCTGCCCCAGGTGCTGCACAATATGCACAAACATCCTTCCTAACTTTCAGGTTGTTTGAAGCATAGTAAGCAAACTCAATTGGAGTCGAACACACCAGCTGCAACCTGATGAACACTGTGCCATGCAGGGAATCTTCACCTACGAGACAAGTGGATATCCTTCATTATTAACTATCCTTTACTTTAAGTTAAAAGACCACCTCTGCAAAAGGAATATGACTACATTGATGGAGTGCACATAAACCTAAATGGACAGAAACTTGCCTTCTACAGTCAACATGGAACCACAGCTGTAGTCATGCTTGAAGAGCATTCTCTGGAGTGCCCGCTGATCACGAACTGTCAGTGACTTCTTGGCATAGATGCAACGTGGTTTTCCACACTCATAACACTGGATTGTAGCTCGCGCATTCTGTCCCACAAGGAAACTGTTCTTGCATCCCTGACAGCCAAAGAACAAGAATAAAGTTTGCTTACAAATGGAAAGATTGCTTACGTGATTTTATGCAACAAACACCACCACAACACTGTACATCAATAAAAACCTAAAGAGAACAGCAGATAACATGACAAAGTTCAGGAGTGTATCAAATTATTTAAATGCACACCTGTTGTGTTTCTGCAACAGATGTCAGAGTTTCCTTGCTTCCACTTGGCATGTCTTTTTCAGATGTTTCTTGTCCAAACAAGGAATCAAAAGACTGAAAGTGGGCTCCATCTTCTGAAAGTAGAGGATCTGGTATCCAAGCTGGTAGGCCTCCCTCAACACTGCTTCTCATGGGCTTACAACAAGCACGATCATCACATTTGCGAAATTGCAGAATGTAATTTCTCTCCCTACTGTGTTTGGCCATGAAGGTTTTGTAGTTTTCTTTATTTGCAATGTCTTTCTTGTGGTACTTGCCAATCTCTATTGAAGCATCAATTTTGCCAATAATATCAGCCTGTGTCTGATGGATTGCAAAATCAGATGCTGGTTCAAGAGTAGTGAATGGCCTTCCTTTCAGCTGAACACGAGTGATGCGCTCTTCCAGTAAATCTTTTATAGATTTGACAGATCCACTCCACTCATCTCTGAGCCTCTCCACCATATCGGCTTTCTTTCGAATATCTTGCATCCCACCACAGCTTCTCAACACCTGTTCAACTTCTGCTGAGCATTCCTGTCTGGACAGAGCAACGTTTTGGAAAGCAAGGTTTAGAACAGACATGATTCGCTCCACTGGATTCGCCCAGCTGTGTCCCGGCGCTGTGCGCCCAGCCACAAGAATGTCTAAGTCTAGCGCCCTGAAAACAGCAGCCAGGGAAAGTTTTACACCTTCATAGGTAACCCTGTGGTCAGGCCCTCCGTCAGAATAAATTATCAAAAAGGGCTTCACCTTGTCCATGTCATCTCCCAGAAGCCCCATCATCTCTGTTGCGTGCCTGAAGGCACTGCTCGGCTGGAATACAGAGTCCTTCAGGAGCACAGTGACCTGACCCCTATAGAAGGAGTCGTCAACCGTCTCTGGTATCTCAACATTGAGGTACACTGATGGAGTCAATGACCCTTTCTGTAGCTGGTCATGGTCGAGAGCTCCGAGCAGACCACTGGAAGCTACCAAGGACTTTTTCCCCCGCACTCCAGATGACATGGCTAATCCTGGTTCTCCAAAATCTATTTTGGACTTATCATCTACACAGAGAAACGTTGTTAAATCCCTGTGCTTGACTGCAAAAGAACGCATGTACTTAAAGAGAGCTGTGCAGTAATGGTCGTCTGGGTGTGATGACCGTAGCTGTCGTGTCTGAACCTGAAATTTCATGTGTACTTTACTTTTGTACAGCTTTGCCACATTGCTATAAGCATTTTTGGGAACAAAGGCAAACAGTACAGTGGTCTCACTGGGGATCGGAGTGTTTGGTGGACACTTCTTGGCTACTCTTTCAATCAGATCCCTTACAGAGATGAATTCGGACAGGTGGGCGACCCCATGGCGTCTTTCATCAGCTGCAGTTATCTGCTCAAGTTCCATGTTCAGCGCATCAAAGAAAGTGTCAAAGGTGTCTTGGGGACGACCTTTATTTAGATGACGAAGGTCAGTGACAAGTTCAGGGTCCTCACCTAAGATTGCCTGTCTCACTCGTTCATCAACAGCCGGGTTTTGGTCAGCTGATGCGTCAGATAAGTATTCAGCATAGATGTGACGTAGAACATGTTTCGGCATTGAGATGTTTGTTGCTGACGATACGGCCTTGATAAAGTCCCTGCGCATTGCTCGCGTATGATAGACTGGCAACTTGGATTCCATTGTTTTCATTATTTGGACTGCCTTGGTCATTGACTCCTCCTCCTCTCTTATGGCTGGAACTTTCCAAAAAATGCAGACCCCCCCAACATTGCCACCAGGATCATACCTGTATAAAAGATACCCATTTAATAAAGGAGTTTCTCCATCATGCCAAACCATTGAATACAAGTAACTTAACAAGTGCTGTTGAAATTGGCAAGATCAGAGAACACATTTGGGTACACCTACAAGCAGTAAACAGTTTTTACACATAAAACACAATGTTTCAATGTTGAGTTCGATCATCCCAACCACTATGTAAAAAAAAAAAAAAAACATATTCTTAGATCAACACATACCTTATTTGGTCAACAGCCACTCCCACAGCATTGAATCCATCAAGAAAGCGTTGCCGTTCTGTTCTGTTCTTGAATGGTGACACTGCATGTTGACATTCATCAAAAATGATGGGCTCGTAAAAGTCCTTGGTGTTCACAAGGTCCTCAATTAGAGAGTACATTGTTTGTTTTGGTCCTCCCTTGAAGTGCAGGACTTGGACATTTTCGGCCAGTTGTCTGACTGGATGAGGCAGAGACTGACGAACCTGTTGAGCCTTTGATGAAAGGTCAAGGAATTGGGCATATTCACTCATGGATACAGCTAGCTGCTCCAGGTCCTTGCCATAGTCCCCCCACAATGATACAAATGTCTGTTCCAATAGTGTTTGCAAACTTGTAACATGAGTCTTGAGTGATGCTGAGTCCAATTGTGGTGCCTTCATTTTCTTTCTCTTGTAGTCATTGTACCCATTGTAATTGTTCGTAACC